TTCCCATCTTAAACCCGTTGCTCTTGCTATTCTCTTCATCCGGAATGCTCTTTGCCCAGCTCTTTGCATGGCTGGCTGATTTGTCTTTTTTTAGGTCTCATCTCAAATGTTATGACCTCCCAGGGAATTTCCCAAACCTAAGTGGCTGCCACCCAGTTAATCTCTAACCACGTTGCTGTTTTCTTCTAATGGTACTTATTAATGTCTGAAATTATTTGTTTGCATGTTTATTGTTTGCCTTTCCCCAATGGAACACATGTTCCATGAGGTCAGGAAGTTTGTCTCTTGTTATTGCTATATCTCAAGGGCCTAGAACAGTGCCTAGCAGATATTTAATAAATAATTGTTGACTGAATAAAAACATGTATTGAGTATTGGTAAGCAGACCTGAGGGATAACTAGATCACTTTTGTAGATTATGCAACTATAGATTGATTTAGCCTCAGGAGGAGTACATCCTTGTCCTAGTAAAGATGTGAGTGTGAAGTCTATTTATTTAATCAACACCCTCCATGCAACAAAGTCTGCTTTTTAATAAAAATAATACGGCCGGGCGCGGTGGCTCATGCCTGTAATCCTAGCACTCTGGGAGGCCGAGGCGGGCAGATTGCTCCAGCTCAGGAGTTCGAAACCAGCCTGAGCAAGAGTGAGACCCTGTCTCTACTATAAATAGAAAGAAATTAATTGGCCAACTAATATATAGAGAAAAAATTAGCCAGACATGGTGGCACATGCCTGTAGTCCCAGCTACTGGGAGGCAGAGGCAGGAGGATCGCTTGAGCCCAAGAGTTTGAGGTTGCTGTGAGCTAGGCTGATGCCACAGCACTCACCCTAGCCTGGGCAACAAAGCGAGATTCCGTCTCAAAAAATAAATACATAAATAAATAATAATAATAATAATAGAAGATAGAAGCACTGGGCACAATGGTGTATACCTGTAATCCCAGCTACTTGGAAGGTTGGGGTGGGAGGATTGCTTGAGCCCAGGAATTCAAGGCTGCAGTGAGCTATGATCAAGCCATTGCACTTCAGTCTGGGTGACAGAGTGAGACCCTGTCTCTTAAAAAAAAAAAAAAAAAAGCATGGTTATTTTTTGGGCAAGTGTCCAAGGACTGCATATTCTTCAGAGCCTTCAGACAGTCTTCCTGTCATTCTTAGAAATTCCAGAGTGAGAAAGGAAATAACTTATTTACTTTAAAGGCCCAAATGAAAGGGAGATGTAGAAATGTACTGTAATGACTTCCAGTTCGTAAATGCATATCACATACTGCTAACTTTATGCCGATGTCAAGTTTTATTTTTCCCCAAATTTGCTTTACTCATGTGGTGTCAAGAATTAAAATAAAAGCTGGGCCAGGCACAGTGGCTCATGCCTGTAATCCTAGCACTCTGGGAGGCGAAGGTGTGAGGTCACTTGAGGTCAGAAGTTCGCGAGCAGTATGAGCCAGACCCAGTCTCTACCAAAAATAGAAAAAATCAACCAGGCATAGTGGTGCGTGCCTGTAGTCTCAGCTACTAGGGAGACTGAGGCAGGAGGATCGCTTGAGCCCAGGAGTTTTTGAGGTTGCAGTGAGCTATGATGATGAAAAGAGCAGATGGATTTGGGAAATGATCAAATAGAATTTTAAGAATTAAAAATTATAGTTATTGACATAAAGAACCAATGGATGGTTTAAGCAGCAAATTAGACATAGTTGGCCGGGCGCTGTGGCTCACGCCTGTAATCCTAGCTCTTGGGAGGCCGAGGCGGGCGGATTGCTCAAGGTCAGGAGTTCAAAACCAGCCTGAGCAAGAGCGAGACCCCGTCTCTACTATAAACAGAAAGAAATTAATTGGCCAACTGATATATATATATAAAAAAATTAGCCGGGCATAGTGGCGCATGCCTGTAGTCCCAGCTACTCGGGAGGCTGAGGCAGAAGGATCACTCGAGCCCAGGAGTTTGAGGTTGCTGTGAGCTAGGCTGACGCCACGGCACTCACTCTAGCCTGGACAACAAAGTGAGACTCTGTCTCAAAAAAAAAAAAAAAAAAAAAAAAAAAAAATTAGACATAGTTGAAAAGAGAATCAGTAAATTAGTGGAGAGGGTTGTAGAAACCTGGGGTTTGGCACAGGAAAATAGAAAGATAGTAAGTGTAAAGTAGAAGATGAGAGATGTGAATGCTTCAACACACTATTTTTTTTTTTTTTTTTTGAGACAGGGTCTCACTCTCTCACCCAGTCTAGAGCCTCAAAATCTTGGGCTCAAAGGATTCTTGTGCCTTGGCTTCTAAGGCATGCATCACCACCCCCAGCTAATTTTCTTGCCTTTTTTTTTTTTTTTTTTTTTTTTTGTAGAGCCAGGGTCTCACTATGTTGCTCAGACTGGTCTTGAACTTCTGGCCTCAAGTGATCCTCCTGCGTTGGCCTCCCCAAGACTTAGGATTACAAGCAGGAGCCACTGCGCCTGGCCTAAATTGGGTGGTTTAAAACAACACAAATTTATTGTCTCAGGTTTGGAGGCTAAAAGTCCAAAATCAAGGTGTAGCAGGGTCATGCTTCCTCTGAACCCTATAGGGGAAGAACCCTTCTTTGCCTCTTTCAGTCTCTGTTAGCCCCAGATGCTCCTTGGCTGTGGAAACATAACTTGAATCTTCACATGGTTTTCTCCACATACATGTCTCTTCACATAGTCTTCCCTCTGTATCTGTCTCTGGGTCCAAATTTCTCTTTTTTATTATATAAAGACATCAGGCATAATGGATTAGGGTCCATTTTAATGACCTCATTTAACTTGATTACCTTTGTAAAAACCCTGTTTTCAAATAGGGGCACATTCTGAGGTACTGGGGGTTAGGACTTCAAAATATCTTTTTTGCAGGGGGGCACAATTCAACTCATAACACAAAGACTAAGATAATTTACTTCTCAGAGACTCTTACTGAAAGAACCTACTGAAAGATTTCCTTTATCAAGAAGGAAATTAAACTCAGAGGAAGGAATACTATATAAGGAGAAATGATGACCAAAAAATAGAAGGCTCTTGCCTAAGATCATACTGCTTTTAAGCAGTATAGTCAGTACTTGAACTCTGGTTGTCTGACAACTTAGTCCATGCTCTTAATTTTTACAGTCCATACAACTCTGAGTACTGTTTCTATATACAGTAATATTATATACAGGGAAGTATCTGAGGCTTTCTTCGAATTTCAATATTTAGTCAATATTTATTGATCATCTATAAAGAAGTTCTAAGAAGGTCCCTAATAATCTGAAGTCATGGATTAGACCCTTTTTTTTTCCTTTTTCAAATTATGGAGGAGTGATGGTTGTTTTTTTTTCCTGAATAATTTATTCACATCCAGTATTTATTTTGTATTCTTTCCCCCTGAGGCACTATGATAGGTGTTCTGGGTATAAGTGGTGGGAGAACCATTATTCCATGGTACTTGATTTCAAGTAGCTTACAGTCTAATAAGAAAATGTTAAAAAAAAGAAAGAAAGAAAGAAAGAAAAGATAGAAAGTGTTATGTACCTTTACAGAGGAGCAGATGTCTTGAGGAGAGTTTAGAGGAGAGATTATCTTTGACACTCATGAAAGGGGATGTGATGCCCATTTGCTGGACTTTGAAAGACAAACAGGACAATGCTAACTATATCAACTTAACTACATCAACTATTTATTGAGCACCTACTGCGTCTTTAGAGCTTTTCATCCTGATCTCATTTATTCCTGACAATAACCCTGTTAGGACAATATTGTCATTCTCATATTAAACATGAGGTGATCGAAGCTCATCAAGAATAAGTGTTCCGGCTGGGCGTGGTGGTTCATGACAGTAATCCTAGCACAAGGTGGGTGGATTGCTCGAGTCAGGAGTTCGAAACCAGCCTGAGCAAGAGTGAGACCCTGTCTCTACTACAAATAGAAAGAAATTAATTGGCCAACTAATATATATAGAAAAAATCAGCCAGGCATGGTGGCGCATGCCTGTAGTCCCAGCTACTTGGGAGGCTGAGGCAGCAGGATTGGTTGAGCCCAGGAGTTTGAGGTTGCTGTGAGCTAGGCTGCCGCCAGGCACTCACTCTAGCCTGGGGAACAGAGTGAGACTGTCTCCTCCAAAAAAAAAAAAAAAAAAAAAGAATAAGTGTTCCATGTCCTGATCTCCCAAGCCTTTGAATATGTTAGGTTACTCTGCCAAGGAGAGGTGAAGTTAAAAAAAAAAAAAAGAATAAGTGACTTACTCAAAGCCACACAGCTTGTAAGTGGAACCATACCTAGGCTGAAGGTAGACCAAGCCTTGCATCCAGATCTTCCTGGTTCCAAATTCCCTGCCTTTTTACTTCTCTAACATTTCTTAGAGTAGTTAAAACACCCATTTTTCCATTTCCAAAAGTCAATTATTACCTATCCTTCTGGTTCAAATGCCACGTCCTTTTACAGCCCAGATTCTCAAAATGTGGTCCACAGGATACCTGCATCATCAGGTTCCTGAGGAAGTGTACAAAAGTGTAAATTTTCAGGCCCACTCTCAAAGATTCTAAGTAAGAAAGCTTGGGATGAGATCAGGAGAACCTGTTTGTTTGCTATTTTCAAACAAAATTATTTGACCTCTCTTGTGTCTAGGTCTCCGGGGAACATGCAGTAGAATTAAGTTCTTCTTGGGAAAAGCACTACAAACACATTTTCTAATGGTTCTCTCCATACTGGCAAGCCTGAGGTTCGGGACCTATTCTCGCTCACTCCCTAAGGCACAGGACTAGGTAAAGGACTTAATAAGGGTTTGACCTCATCTACATACATCTCAATTTAGCAGCACAAACCAAGCTATTTGTCAAATTACTTAAAAACCACATACGAAACCTGAGCAAGCTAGACCTGATCCGTCACATGGGGAAGACGGACTGAATTTCAAACCCGAATATATAAAAGATGACCTGCAAGAGGAAGGGTAGCGAAGTGGGACGGGGTGTGAACTACGACTCATGCGCAGGCGCAGAAGGAAGGCCGGCGCTCAAACCGAGGCGTGTCCTTCCCCCACCCCTTTCAAGCCTTCTCCCACCGCGCAGGCGCACAGAGTGCAACAAGATGGCGGCCCCCGTGGATCTGGAGTTGAAAAAGGTAAAAGAGGGTCTTGAGCAGGCAGAGGCTTCTCTTTGGAGGTCTAGGGGACTGTGGAAAAGAGTATTGAGTGAGGCTCGAGTCTTGCGGAAAGAGGCTCCAAGGGACGAGGGAATGGCTTCCCAGAGTCCTAAAGCCAGACCAGGCCTCCTTAAGCTGGGGTTGCGGGGCGAGCGGCTCTTGCTGAATAGGAGCCGTTTGCGCTGGGTCGGGTAAGTCTGCGGGCCTGCCCACTCAATCTGAGCACCAGAGCCATTTCATTGCTTTTGGAGCCTTCAGGGACTCAGTTTCATAGTAAGAACTGATTCACAGTAAGAACAGAAGCGAGCTTTTCAAACTGAAGCCTCTTCGGACTCCTTGCCTGAGCTGAGGCATCTGTTATTCTGCCTCCTTATTTGCTTTGGAAAACTCAAAAGTCCATCCTTTGTTTTTAGGCTATTTATTCTATCCCACGCCTCGAACGTTCTCCGTATCTACAGTTTAGAAAGTCAGACATCTATTGTTACAGTAATGTTATTCAAGGGCTTGGGCCCACTGTTCCTCCCTTTTTGGAACGCTTGTCAAAAGAAAGTCCTGTAAAGTTTTCCAAATAAAATTGGTATCAGATGGAATTGAATTTCTCCTTGTTCAAACAGTTGCTTATAAATGTGTTGTTACTCAGAAGGATTTTTCCCACCTGAGAATGATCATGATCCTAACACCACTAATACCCCAAACCGTATGCTTTGGGGGATGGGGTGGAGTGGATTGGAAAGGATCCTAGATTTCATCTAGTTTAAATCTATAATACTTTTCTAGAAAAGGAAACAGGTCTAGAAAAGACTCAGTCAGAGGTTGAGACAGAATCTGATATTATCTGTCTTCACACTTTTTTGGCCACTACTTTAGGTTGTTAAGGTGAGCAACATCTTAAGACCACCTCCAATCAACCTGTTCCTGAGAAACAGGACAGCTGAAATAGTTGTTCCTAATAAATGAAGCTATTTGTTATTAACCCGAGGATAGTATGTGTTTGTGTCTTGTTTTTTGTCATTCTTGTCTTGGAACTTGTAAATTTAGCCCTTACGAGGTGCTTGCTAATGCTGTAATATCTTAGCTTTAACAATCTACTCGCTCCTTAGCAAATTGTACACAGCAATCAAATAATACCTGGAATTTTACATTTCAAAACAAAATTGTGCATTCTAAAAATTTACTTTTTTTCTATTAAAAGTTCAAACTGAGGTCAGGGTTTAGTGAAAGCTAAGGAGTACAACTGTGGAGGGATTTACCTCCCAGTACTGTTTGAATTTGTTGCTAAGAAACAAGTGGACTGGCCGGGCGGGGTGGCTCACGCTTGTAATCCTAGCACTCTGGGAGGCCGAGTTGGGCGCATTGCTCAAGGTAGGAGTTCAAAACCAGCCTGAGTGAGACCCCGTCTCTACTATAAAAATAGAAAGAAATTAATTGGCCAACAAATAAATAAATAAATAAATAATAAATATTAGCCGGGCATGGTGGCACGTGCCTGTAGTCCCAGCTACTCGGGAGGCTGAGGCAGTAGGATTGCTTGAGCCCAGGAGTTTGAGGTTGCTGTGAGCTAGGCTGACGCCATGGCACTCACTCTAGCCTGGGCAAGAAAGTGAGACTCTGTCTCAAAAAAAAAAAAAAAGAAAAAGAAACAAGTGGACAATGAATGCAAACTAAGAAAATGATTACAGACTTGAATTGAATAGTTTTGACAACTAAATGAATTAAATAAAAAAATAAATTTGTTTAAAGGTTTTATCTTCTAATGTCTTAACAAGGTTTTTTTGGGGGGGGGGTGGAAACTAGGAAATTTCAGGCACCTCTTCCTCAAAGTAAATCTTTTGAAACCTTACTGGTAGGTGAGAACAAAGTTAGAATAAAAGTTATATAGTAGCCTTTATGTAGTACAGTCACAAATGTTATTAAGGCATAAACTTGACAGCATGTGAAAGTCATTACAGGCACTTCAATAAGAGTATCCAAGAACTGTGTTTATCTTAAGTAAATGTACACAAGGGTCAGATTTGGCCTGGTATTTGTGGATGGAGATCATGATGCATTTCTTCTGCCAGTGCTTTACATCTCTCTCTCTCTTTTTGGTCTTTGTCCAAAAAATACTTGTATTATGAATATTACTGTAGACAGTAGAATGGAACGTTTTCTGAATTAAGATGTCAGAAGAAATGGATTACTTGTCTTTCCACCTAATAGTTGCTCAACCCTGTGCAAGCCACTTTTATCTCTTAACTCATTTAGTTACTTAATTATAGTAAATTGTGGATGATGAAACTCCCATCCCTAACTCATAGGATTATTGAGAGGAGTAAACGAGATATTTATTATTATATCCTTTATTAATGTTCTCATATTAATATTCCCATGTTAATATTTCAAATTCATGCGTGGAAGCGCTTTGAAAACGAGTTGTGTAATACAAATGTAGTGAGTTGTTACTTTTATGGTTCTTGTTTTGAATCTTCTGGGTTTCATCTCTTGACTATTGCATATATTGCGCTTATTACTTCTCGAGTACTTGCTACTTGATATGGTTCTTATTTAATGTGCATTTGTTTTGCTTCAAATTGATTGCATCTTCTGAGGACATAGGAAATTCAGTATTTAGCATCATTTACAATTATATCGACTTATTGATGTTTGCTTTGGTAAATTTCACAACTGTGTCTCTGGTTAGCATGTTTTGTTTTAATATATTTGGATTTGACTTAAATGTTTACTGTAAAATGTTTTACTTACTAAATCATGGACTTGTTTTTATTAGGCCTTCACAGAGCTTCAAGCCAAAGTTATTGACACTCAACAGAAGGTGAAGCTTGCAGACATACAGATTGAACAGCTGAACAGAACGAAAAAGCATGCACATCTTACAGATACAGAGATTATGACTTTGGTAGATGAAACTAACATGTATGAAGGTGTAGGAAGAATGTAAGTAAAATATATCCTTAATGAGGTTATCTTGGTAGTATTATAGAAATAATTTTAAAGATCATCTAGTCAAATACCTTCTTTTTTTAAAAATGAGGAACTGAAACTCATAAATGTTTAATTTTAGACTTTACATTTCTTAAATACTTCTTTCTTCTCTCTACTTAAGTGTGTGACTTCAATGATAAAAATATGATTTGGGATGCGAGGATGTTTATAATAATTTTGTATTGTATATGAAGATTGGTTTAAATAAGTTTTTTTTTTTTTTTTTTTTTTTGAGACAAAGTCTCACTCTGTTGCCCGGGCTAGAGTGAGTGCCATGGCGTCAGCCTAGCTCACAGCAACCTCAAACTCCTGGGCTCAAGCAATCCTACTGCCTCAGCCTCCCGAGTAGCTGGGACTACAGGCATGCACCACCACGCCTGGCTAATTTTTTCTATGTATATTAGTTGGCCAATTAATTTCTTTCTATTTATAGTAGAGACGGGGTCTCACTCTTGCTCAGGCCTGTTTCGAATTCCTGACCTCGAGCAATCCACCTGCCTGGTCCTCCCAGAGTGCTAGGATTACAGGCGTGAGGCTCCGTCTGGAGCCTTCACTTTTTTTCTTTTCTTTTCTTTTTTTTTTTTGGAGACAGAGTCTCACTTTGTTGCCCAGGCAAGATTGAGTGCCGTGGCGTCAGCCTAGCTCACAGCAACCTCAAACTCCTGGGCTCAAGCAATCCTACTGCCTCAGCCTCCCTAGTAGCTGGGACTATAGGCATGCGCCACCATGCCCAGCTAATTTTTTCTATGTATATTAGTTGGCCTATTAATTTCTTTCTATAGTAGAGACGGGTCCTCACTCTTGCTCAGGTTGGTTTTGAACTCCTGAACACTAAGGATCCACCTGCCTCAGCCTCCCAGAGAGCTAGGATTATAGGCGTGAGCCACTGCGCCGACCTTCGCTTTTTTTCTTTTAAAAAACATTATCCTATGAGAGAGAATAGGTCTGCTTCATATTCTCTAAGCAGAAAAAAAAGAATGGAAAAGCCCTTAAGTACAGGTCACATTCCATTACAGTGAGCTAAAAGGAGAAGACTGATTTTTTTAAGTGGGGGGAGGAAGGTTTCTCTGGAATTTGATCTTTGAATATTACTTAGTAAGTGGATCATTACTTCAAATTTGGAGATCTTTTAGGTAGAATGGAATTTGACCTCAGTTTTGGGATGACTTGTTTTGTGATTGATTTGAAAGAAGCATAACATGTAAAATTTAATAATGGCTTTGGACTGACATCATGAGAAGTAGACTGTGCTCATGACTGACTGTATCTTTCTGGATAATAGAGAGATTATGGTAAACTGTTCATCTGATTTGCTTTCTCAGAATGAATAATATAACAAATTTTATCTCCAAGTTCATATTTTTCATTTTAGCTTGTTTAAGGAGGATGACAATCCCAGTTTCAGAGTTTCTTACTGAGATGCAAAAGAATTGGGATGAGAACAAAGTAGAAACCTTGAGTATGTGTCTATGTAGTATGAAGTACATTGTTGGCATTCACTACAGGGTAATTTTATCCTTAATGTGAATATCCTTAGGTCTTAAAACAGTAATGCTGGCTTTTCTAGCATGCCTATTAACATGTTGTACTTGGATTTCCCATCACTGGACTAGCCTTTGTTTGCAGCAGCTAAAGAATCTCTTTTTCAAAATAGAAAAACTCTTTCACTGTCTTTGGCCTTTAGAGCTACAGTGAAGTTTTTATTTTTAATTAGAATAATTGCATTTATTAAACGTTCTGCAGAAGTGTTAGGAGAGTGGTTTTTTTTTGTTTGTTTTGTTTTTTTAATGTACTGTCCAAAGTGTTAGAGATAGGTTGTATTCTTAAAAGAAATGTGTAGTTCTAAATGTTTAGATAAACTTGGGCTCCTACATGACTTCAAACTTTGGTTTTAAATTTGACTTTTGTGCTTTCTGCATCTCACTGACAGTGTGGGTTTGGCCCTGTATTGTAGGGGCATGTAAGGTGAATAGCGTTTGTTGTTTGGCTAGAGTATTAGTGCCCTGAGAGGAAGAAAGACTTGCTGAGTATTAGTCTGGTCATGAGGATGTTCTCTTTCTTGATGCTAAACCTGAAATATCTATTTCTGAATTTATAGTCCTGAGTAATTTTGGGTATCATTGTGATTCACTTCTTTAATTCTAGTCTTTACCTTAATTTGTCTTTTCTTTTCCTTTTTGAGTATTACTTGGCAATTTTGATTAGAATACAAATTTTCTTCAAATTTTTGTTTTAAAACCACAGATTATAAAATCTCAAACTCTTTGTTTTAGAACCTGCTGTAGATTTTTCCATTGCTGAAATTAAGGCCTCATTATTTGTGCCTGGACTGTTATTAATACAGTAGTGTCTTAACTGTTCTTTTTTCTTGCTTTCATTGTGTCTGTTCAAATCCATTCTTCACACATTACCAGAAGTCCCATCAGTATTTTTCATAAAATCCTTTATTCATCCTCTGTTGTACACAGGACAAAAATCTAAACTCCTTGGCCTAGCATTTTAGGTTTTTCATAATCTCTCTTTTTTTTTTTTTTGAGACAGAGTCTCACTCTGTTGCCCTGGCTACAGTGTCATGGCATCATCCTAGCTTATAGCAACTTCAAAGTCCTGGGCTCAAGCAATCCTCCTGCCTCAGCCTCCCAAGTAGCTAGGACTACAGGCATGGGCCACCATGCCTGGCTAATTTTTTCTATATGTTTTTAGTTGTCCAGTTGATTTCTTTCTATTTATAGTAGAGATGGGGTCTCGCTCTTGCTCAGGCTGGTTTCGAGCTCCTGACCTTGAGCGATCCTCCTGCCTCAGCCTCCCAGTGTGCTGGGATTACAGGCGTGAGCCATCTGTGCCGGCCCCATAATCTGCTCTTAATTTACTCTTCTGACCTCAGGTTCCACCACTTACTTTTTCTGGGTTCAGGATAGCATGTACATTTCATCTAATGGAGTTACTTCATTTTACTGGTTAGTGTTATCTGGTGAAAAGAATTTTGAGGTATCATGTAGACTTTAAACATGCTTTAATTGATTAGTGATGTCTGTCACAGGGTGGGGGTAGAATAGTATTAGCACATGTACCAGAAATTGTTATTCTGACCCTTGCCACACAGAATTTCCTCACACCCCCCATATTTTTGTGGCTTTTTGCTTTTGCTCATCTGTGCTTGGCTGGCAATGTCCTCCTTTCCCTTGTGAAATTCTCAACCTTCAAGATAGCTAAAATCTTACTTTGCCTCTGAAGATTTTTTCAGTCCCTGGGACAGACTCATTGACTCTTTCCTTGGTGATATCAGGGTTTTTATTCCTACAACTAGTAGAGCATGTTGAGTTTATAGGTGTGTTTTAAATGAGTCAGTCTCCCCAGCGAGATTGTTAGCTCTGTGACACCATATACATATATTATCTTTGTTTCCTCATTTCTCAGTATAATGTCTGGCACAAAATAGGTGTTAAATGTGTGTTGATTTGAACTTAATCTGATTCTTTCTCTTGCCTAAAATAACAAATAACTGCATTTTCTTTTGGTTCTTTAGAAAAAGCCTATTTAGAAAGTGCCAGAGTCTTAAGAATTAGAGTTCATTATTCTATTTTAATATATGATTCAGTCAAGATAAAATTATAAAAATAACATATTTTGATTAAGATCAGAGGAATTGTTTCTGACCAAAATTATGTCCCTTTATCTGACAAGATTCTTTATTGAATCTATTGAAGAGGTTGACTAATTCTGAATGCCAGCCAGTTGCAGGGATACTTGATCAGAACTGACCATATAGAAAGCTCAAACCTTTAGAATTATGCTGAGAGTAGTGTAATCCTTGGAGAATAAAGGCTGTTCTATGCAGAATAATATCAATATAACTATTTTACCTTCCTCATCTTCACACAGAATGAAAATCAGATTTTTCTTTTTAGGGTATGTATTTAGTTAAATCGTTGCAAGTCCAGATGCCTTTCAGCTCCTAACTGTGGAGAGATTTGGTGGTGTTAATACCTCTTATATGTGGCTATTTTTTGTTTAAAACAAGGAAAGTCAAGCTACAGGGTAAGAGATGATAAATTGCTATATACTGTAAGCTCTGAGTATTCCATGCTCAAAGCTATATTCCATCCAGTCTTTTGGCATGTTGCCAGCACATTTTAGTTCTCTTACTTCATATTCTTTGGAGAGGCTGTTATGTAGCCTGATACTACTACCACCAATTTCTAGTTTTGCTACTTAAGCTGTTTGTGAGCTGACCTCACCATGCTGCTTTGAGAACTATGATGAAAGTTACAACTGTGGAATGATCTGTCTGAATATTTGGAAGTGTTTGTCTTTGCATCTTTCTAGCATACATGGAGGGAATGGACAGATCTCAAATAAATGTTATGTGACATTTCTTGTATTTTTTTTTTTCATGGATAAGAATCATTTTATAATTGCTTTGTGGGAGTTTTCTTTTTACTTTGCATAGTAGAGCATAAGAGTATTTTTAAAATAAGGGTTACTTTAGAAAGTGCACGTGAATGACATTTAACCATGCTAGCTAGTGTTTGAAAGGACTGTCATTAGAATAAGTGTAAAACTTATTTATTAACAATAGGTATGATCCTGACCCTGATTTGATGTCAGATCTATTATTCTAATATGTTTTTTGCTTGATGTTAAATAATATTTCTTCTTTCCAAAGGAGACAAATTAGCTTTTTATTTTTCTAATATAGGAGGAACTTGAGTAGATTAGCCTTTGAGAAGAATGATTAGTGCCTTTAAAAAACTTGAACCTAATTAAAAATAACTTTGTAGCGTATTTAAACTAATTTAGAGGTATGCTACCATTCTGTGGGTATTTTTTTACATTTAAGGAACTAAGAATGAACAATGGTATAAATCTGCCAACTAGATAAGTGTCTAGCAATGCAGAAATTGCTGTTTGGGAGCAGTGTTGCTATTTCTACTTGTTGAAGTAATTTAACG